GAACGCCCAGTCTTCATAGGCGGAGCTAGCTAGATGGCAGGTTAGGCCATGACCACCCTAGGATTTGGCTAGTGTCGGAATTTAGAACTACAGTGATGTGTTGTCTAATATCCTGAAGATTGTATATGGAACTCCCTATCATTTGCATTACATCTAGCTAGACCATCCGTGCTCTAAATCCTAGCTGCTACGTCATTGGGTAAGTGGCCCCCTGCTGAGCCCTCAAAATACGTCTATCGTTTGAAGAAGACTCGTAAATTCGCAAGAATCACATCTGATCTGTGGTCCTGTATTAACAGGCTTTTGTTGATAACTAGTACGGCCTTGTTATGATGTTTATCTGGAATCTGAGGTACCGAGGTAGTGATGATCTTCTTTCAGCCAAAAAGGGAAATTCCAGTATGTGGATAGTATGTTGCAAGTTGGTGGCAATAAGCCAATAGCGTTGCTTTTTCCTTTCCTTTTTGAAAAAAAAAAAGTTGCACCAACAATAACTGAGGAACGGCCCGGCGCTAACGGCGATACTCCACGTGTTGGGCCGCTGCGCGGTCCCATCGGCCATCGCCCCCACACAAGCGAACGGGATGAGAACCACATGCGCCTCCGCAGGACGGATGAGCGCGACCGGACGAGGTCCCAGGCCCTCTTTAGGTCCAGTTTAGTTTGCAAAAAAATTTGCAAAATTTTTTATATTTCCCGTCACATCGAATCTTTGGACGCATGTATGAAGCATTAAATATAAATAAAAAATAAAACTAATTACACAGTTTAGACGAAATCCACGAGACGAATCTTTTAAGCCTAATTAGACTATGATTGGACACTATTTGCCAATTAACAACGAAAACGCTACAGTACTTATTTTGCAAAATTTTTTACATCTAAACAAGCCCTAGTTCACCCAAAATCCAAACTTTGACACTATGCAAAAAGAAGATTCCCCATCACATCAAACTTGCGGTACATGCATGGAGTACTAAATATTGACGAAATCAAAAACTAATTGCACAGTTTGGTTGTACTTTGCGAGACGAACGTTTTGAGCCTAATTAGTCATCGTTTGGACAATTATTAACAAATACAAACGAAATGCTACAGTTATTACTGTAGCTACAGCAGCTAGGGCGGCGCCGATTTCGGCCGCAACTAAACGAGTCCCCAGTCAGGTCGGCACGACGAGAGGCCAGGCCCAGGGGCCACGCACTTTTTATTCCCTTGTCACCTCAGCTCAGGGAGTCGGCAGCGCGCGGGTGGTCGGTCACCACGCCGGGCCGGCGCCGCTTCCTCCTCCTCCTCCCGTTCCCGGACGGGAATTCGGGGCCCGGATCGCAGTATCTCGCACAGCAACCTGATCGACGTCGCCACGGCCCGGTCCGATGCGGCGCGGTCCCCGGGAGCTCTTGCGCCATCGGCACCGCCTGATTGGGCTGCCGAGCTTCGCCGACCAGAGTGAACACCGCGCACGTGTTCATTCTATCTATACATACCCGTCGTCCGATACGACATCGTATCACGCTGACGCCTAGTAGATGTGGAATGCAACTGAGGCACAGTGGTCGTTTGGTCAGATTGAAAAACATTTCGACGATTTGCACCCTGTTCGTTTATGCTAAAATTTGGCTTATACTGATGCTTATGTTGAAATACTGTGAGAGAAAAACATTGTTTCATGACTGAAAAGTAGCTCAAGCGAACAGGGAGTTGCTTCCGGACTCTGTCGGCCGGATCGGATGGCGAAGCAGGTGCATTACAGATGGCGCAATTGCAGGCGTGCTAAATAGTCACCTTGTTCACTTGTTGATTTCAGTCAGAGATTATCAGCTATGGTATAGTGTTTTCCTTTCACAACAAACAGCACCAATCAAATTTATCAACCCAGAAAACAACACCAACCGGCTGAGCAGTAGCTCCTGCTCCCACGAGCTACAACATAGTCAAAAAACCACAATCTTAAAATACATCTTTGACTCTAACACTCCAGCAGTGCGTTTATATTTGAGTAAAGCTACTAGTAGTATTTTGGTAGTACTATATTATACTAGTACTCCGAGTCCGAGCAAGCAAAGGCACACAAGAAGCAAAGAATTTGACCACGACATTTGACGCTGACCAGAGCACCACTCTCCTGAATCCGCAGTGGACGCCCCGCGCCCGGGAGCTGTCGCCAATCTGTACGCGTCGCCGTCGAATCACCACCGTTTCTCCTCGCTATCACGTCACACCCACCCCTGCAGTCTGCACCAACAACACAGCACGGGGGCAGTATCGGCAAGTGGCCAAAACAATGGAGAGTGGCAGCAAAGGCACTGCTGGTATTCCGTAACTCCCTTTTGGGTGTGGGACCCGGGAAGGCACGATTCCGTCGCGTACCGAGTGATATTTTAGGTATTCATTCAGCAGCATGGATCTCATTTTTGGTGCCTGAACGACCTCGAATAAAATACACGGGTTCGTGACCTGACTTGTGTGAACAATACCGTAATTTTACTTGAGGTTACCCACTTGTGTGAACAACGTTGCTTTATTTCTAATAAACTCATGTTTTTAGTGTTTCCTTCGTGCACGTATTCACTCACAACAAGACCAGTGCTAGAATCTTTAACGTGTACTCCAATACGAGACAAGCATAACGCTAATCCCAGTGCAAAGTCTTATAGTACATTGTACAGTGTTGTTGTCAAATTAGTGTCTAGAGACAAATCCTCCCATGTATTATTGTATCAAATCCTCCCATGTTTATTGTATCATGTTTTCTTGAGCCCTTAAACAATCAATTGTTGTGATGTTGTTTCTATGAGAGTGGACCCATAACATGAGATATTATCCCAAAGCTGCTCATACACACGATCAGTTTCCTTCTCTCTTATAGTTAATTTCTTTGCCATAGCACTAGAAAGATCCTCTATGACACCTAGACTTGATCGGGCCTGAAAGAACGTTAAGTTAAATTTTTTTTTGGTCTATACTCACCCAACGAACACGTCGGAGTGGGCCGGGTCGGGGTATTCTTTGATTTTTGGGTTTCCCTACGTTAGATCGGAGGCTTTCAGGTTAAATCCAGTTATGGATAAATATGTATGGGTCGAGCCCACCCAATACATTAGTTAGGTCGAGCTAGGTTAAGTTTTCTCGTGCGGGTCAGGTTGGTTGGTTGGTTGGACCGGGTGGCCCATGTCAAGGCTAGTGACACTGACACCTACTCAATGCACATGATACCATACCAATGAAGCAAACTAGTACTCCCTCCGTCCTATACTATAGTGTATTCTAACATTCAAAAATTATCCTCAAATATAATGCATTCTAGAGGATAAACACCAATTTTACATTAAATACTTTCTATTTATCAACCAATCACCATCAATCGCGTTGATGATAGAGTCTGATTAGGAAATAAAATGAGGGTACATGCGTCATTTATATTCTCTCTTAATTTATCTTAAAATTCTTAGAATGTACTGTATTACAAGACAGATGGAGTAGACAACAAGGCTAAGACCGCCACTAGTGACACATGACACCTACTCAATGTACATTCGGAAGCGGATTTGAATGATGGTTTAGACCGAAATTTGTCACTAGCATGGCAGAGTTCTTTGCCACAGGTGCTGCCAAATATATATTAAAATTTAGCCTATATAAATAGAGTTTAGTAATATACTCCCCCCATTTCAAAATATAACGCACGTTTTGACATAGTCCAGTCCTTAAAAGTACACTTTAACTGTAAATTTCTCTTTAATATATAGGTTATGGTAACAAAATTTCAATCACTAAAAGTATTTCTAAACACAGATGCAACGTAATTATTCTTGTAATATAATTTTTTACATAATTAAACTAATTGTTGGTCAAAGATAACAAAGTTTGAATTTTAAATTATGTTCACATCTTTTTTTTTTGGACGGAGTAAATTGCAGGACTTTGCGTATTCAGGCTTTATCCACAACTTTCTCTAGAAAAGAAATTGCTATCCATATTTCATTTTGGGTCAAAGGATGTTTGAAAAGCTTAAGTGTACAGTGAGCAATTGAGCTCTATTTTGACCGCTATAATTATATGTCCAAATTACTACCAGGTACAAGATTGAAGTGCTTGCCTTGACGACCAGGTAGGAACACTGAAAACATGACCGCCTTTTCAAATCTCTATTTAATCCGCAACAGAATTGGATCAAAAAAAAAAAAAAAAAAAAACCACCAGGCACCTGCCCATCCTTATCCGTAACATAAATTCCTTCTCGAAGCCTTTCCGACAGGTGGGCCCATCATCCTTCGAACTCTCCCCCCACACCCCGCGCCACGTTGGACGAGACGAGACTCCTCGTCACCGTCCGTGACCCCAACTCTGACCCCTTCAACGGCGGGACCACTCGCCAGCTGCTCCATGTCTCCATCGGAATCCCGTAGTTCGCTGACGTCAGCTCCGCCATCACATCTCAGGCCCAGTTTAGATGCAAAATTTTTTGCAAAATGAGCACCATAGCATTTTCGTTGTTATTTGGCAATTAGTGTTCAATCATAGTCTAATTAGGCTTAAAAGATTTGTATCGTGGATTTCATCTAAACTGTATAATTAGTTTTATTTTTTATTTATATTTAATACTTCATGCATGTGTCTAAAAATTCGATGCGACGAAGAATCTTGAAAAATTTAGCAAAACGAAGTGACCTCATTCTCACGTGACCCCGCACTATGCCCCACCCTTGCCCCGCGTCCACACTCTGCCGCTTTACAGCCAGGAGGGCAGAACCGGGACAGAAAAGAAGGGAAAACAGAGGGCAATACGCGCACGTTTCACACGTTTACTTTGCGCCGCTGGAGGGCGCCATTAGCAAGAGCTGGAGCTTACTAATCAATTCGTGCGCTTCTCTGTCCGCTTCTCAGCGTAGACTTCGACGTCAACGCCGTATAAAAGCCTCCCCCTCTCCATTTCCCGCTCTCAGTTCGAAGCAGCGCCTCGCCATCAGACGAACACACACACGAGCTCAGATTGCAACATGACCAACCGCACCTTCTCCGCCATGGCAGCGAACCACCAATCCTACATGATCCGATTCGACGGCGGCCACTCTGACGACCCGTCGCCGAGCTCCGCCGGCGCCGAGCAGCCGGGCCCGCTGCAGCCGCAGCCGCCGTTCGCAGGGCGGAGAATGATCTCCCCCGAGCAGGAGCACCAAGTCATTGTCGCCGCCCTGCTGCACGTCGTCTCCGGGTACACCACGCCGACACCGGAGGTCTTCCCGCCGCCGCCGCCGGCGTGCTGCCAGGTGTGCGGGATGGAGCGGTGCCTCGGCTGCGAGTTCTTCGCCGAGGAGGGCGCGGGGAAACTGGCGGCAGGCGCGGCGGCGGGGCCGGGGCAGAGGAGGCGGAGGAAGAACAAGAACAAGTACCGCGGCGTGCGGCAGCGGCCGTGGGGGAAGTGGGCGGCGGAGATCCGCGACCCGCGCCGCGCCGTGCGCAAGTGGCTGGGGACGTTCGACACCGCCGAGGAGGCCGCCAGGGCCTACGACCAGGCCGCCATCGAGTTCCGCGGCCCGCGCGCCAAGCTCAACTTCCCGTTCCCCGAGCAGCTGACGACGGGCCACGACGAGCCCACCAGCAACGGCGGCGACGCGAGCGCGGCCGCCACCAAGCCGTCGGACAACATACTGTCGCTGTCACCGTCGCTCTGCAGCGCGGACGATGAGGAGCGGGGGCAGCCGGAGTGGCCGCCGACCGCCACGGGGCAGGAAACAGGGGAGCAGCTCTGGGAAGGCCTGCAGGACCTGATGAAGCTGGACGAAGGCGAGCTCTGGTTCCCGCCAACCTCGAGCGCTTGGAATTGAAACGTCCACGATCAGATCCCAGCCGTTCAAGTAGTTTAGAAAGGAACATCCTAGCCTTTCGCTATGCTCTTTTTTCCCCCTTGGCTCTTCTTTTTCTGAGCTCTGTTGTACTTATTTGAACAAAGCAGAGTTTTGTACATTACAGTAGAGTCCTACCAAGTGTATTGAACAGGGCAATTTTGGAGTGTATGTATTTTCTACTTGAAAAAAAAGCAATTAACACGATCTGACTATAGTGACTACTGACTTGCCAACCAAATTAAATTCATGAGAATTTGGGTAAAAAAAATGGATTAGGGTATTTCGTACTTCACTGGCGTATAGTAGGATTGAGACTAGGCCTTCATAATTTGTGAATAATATTCATCGATCAATATGATCCACGTGGTAACCACGTCGGTGGTTGGCAAATTAAGTATTGTTATGTTTGTATCACGTTGTTCGGTGACAGAATTGCTACGCAACGATTAGTTTATTTTAGACATACTACTCTGTCACCGAGCAAATATTTTAAAGCAACCATTTTTCAGTTGATTATTTGAAAGCAACAGATTTCCATTACTATTTTGAGCCCGTGGATGTAGAATCGGTTGTACTAGCGTCCCGTATTCCGGACAGACATCCGCGTCTGGAAGCCCGCGCTGCATTTGTTTTCCGTGCACGCGCCTGCACTCCACGCCCATGCTCACGCCAGCACGCCTCCACCCGCGTCTGTGTTTCACGTGCTCACGCGGGGCCCGTGCGGCCATACTGCGTGGAGACTGCTCGCGGCCTCTCCCGCTTCTCACGCACATTCCATGTGCAACACCTGATCTACTTTTAAAACATACAGATGCAATACTTGCAACATACGTCTGAAGATAGATGAAACACTTGAAACATGCTTGTGAAACACATGAAAAAAAACACCTAAAATGTTTGAAAACCATTGCAAACATACGCAACATCCAGATAAAACACTTGCAACATATATGTGAAACATATGCAACATCAAGATAAACACACTTGCAACATACTTCTAAAAACACAGATGAAACATTAGGAACAGACACTTGCAACATATGTGTACAAGCATTGCAACATCTCGATCTACTTTTGCAACATTCATCTGAAAACACTTGCAACATACCTCTGAAACATCTGGAACAGTTGAAACATACGCTTGCAACATACGTTTTTCACCCTTCTTCCGCACGACGGCCTTAAGAGCGGGAACGGCAAATGATTACGGCTCTTGGTGGTCGAGGATGGTGGCGCGGCCTGGCAGTGGCTAGCTATGCCTGCGCCTAGCCTGAGCCCAACCAACGACAGCCCCCTCTCCTTGTCGCCTAGCCACACACGGCGTCCGGGCGCCTGTGTGGCTGCTTCTAGGTTGGCCCAGCCAGCTAGCGGCACCGGCCAGCGACCAGACCCCGGCGGCGGTGAGGAGGCTCGCCAGCTTGGTGGAGGCGGCCGCGTCGAGCAGGTATCGCAGTGGAGGCGGTCACGACGAGCAGGCAACGTGGGGTGCGGCGGTGGAGAATTCAATTGCGCAATCTTCTATACTTTCACTTTTGTACCACTCATGGAACACCAACGGGGTGTATGGTTTGAAAAATAGAATGGCAGTTCATCTTGTCTCCTTACTTTTTTTTGTTTCATTTATAGATTGTAATTGATTGATTTTTTGTTATATTCATCCCTCAACAAGCTAATAATTAGTAAATTAGATGGTTCCACCAAAATGGTTGAATGAACTCTTTACTAGACCTGATCATGGGCCATCCGACCTTACCTGCCCAAAATACGACACGACTAGTGTATCGAGATAAGCTCGAGCCATAATTTTTGACCTATAACCCAACCAAACCCAACTAAGCATAGAAAAATCCTAGGAATAACCTAACTTGCCCATTGTGGCCTTGGGCAAAAAAAATAACTTCGCCATTTTTTCGGCTGGACCCGACCCAAAGTTTGATTAGGTTTACTTTTGATGCATCACTACATCACCTTGACTAGAATATGGTAGTTTTATAAACCAAAGACCCCGTGAGGGCTTGTTTGTTTAATCCATTTCTCAAGGTGATCGGAGGAGACGAGAGTAATTTTGACTTGCGATTTGGTCTCCTTTAATCCCTTTCTAATCCCAACCGAACTGAACAATGCCTAAAAGGGAGGATGATCGGCGTAGCCAACACCGCCCCACCTTTTAACATTGCAACTTGTAACCTATGCCTGATATTAGCAATCTTATTTAGCCACGCTTCCTTAGAGCAACTCCAGCAGGTTAGCTAAAAATAAATGCTAAATCTCTTGATTTAGTCATCATGTAAAATAGAAAAGGCCCTCAAAAAGATGAGTGCTACAGCAGCCTGGCTAAATATGGTCCTTTTGTATATTTAAATGGGCCACATCATCCTGACGGTTGGTCCTTGGCCGCTCGCAATATACGTCCGCCGCTAGGTCTGCTCGCAAAGTCGCAATGCACGACTACGCCGCTAGGTCTGCTCGCAAAGTCACAACGCACAGCTACCCCTTGGCGGCGCACCACCAAATACGGTCCTCCTCCGCACTGGTCGCTCGGTGCGGCAATGCACCAGCGAGAGATCGTCGACGACGGCGAGCACTTCATGCATTCGTGATTTGTCAGGTCAACTCATCGTGTGTTTCTGATCACAGCTGCCTCAGCTTTGCCCTAGAGCCGTAGGTGTGTAATGGATTCTGAAGCTGAGTTCAATCTCCTGAATGAAGTGGTGGATTCATCATTTTCGGACGATGATGATGAATTCTATATTGCTGCTGCCCACATAGTACCAACGGATATTGGCAATGAACCACATCATCGTGGTTCCGTTGAGGGACATCGTGTATTAAATCGTGACAAACAGTCAGGGCACGTGAGACTTTATCAAAACTATTATTCAGATGATCCTACATATGAGCCAAACTATTTCAGGCGTAGGTTTGTAGGTACCCCATATTTCTTTTCAATTATACCTTGTATATGCATTCGATTTTCGCCTAATAAATTTGTCTTCTTGCATATATTTCGAATGAGGCGTCATGTGTTTGTCCGTGTAATGAATGTTGTCGAGGAGCATGACGACTATTTTGTGCAAAACAGAAATGCAGCTGGTACCCTAGGACTATCTTGTTTGCAGAAGGTTGTGGCGGCATTTCGGATGATAGCTTATGGAGTAGAGGCTGATGCTACGGATGAGTATGTTCGTATTGGTGAGAGTACTGCTCTAAAGAGTTTGAGAAGGTTTGTCAGAGTTGTTGTTCAAATATTTGGGCATGAGTATATGAGAATGCCTAATGAACATGATACAGCTAGATTGCTTGAAATTGGTGAGAGAAGAGGTTTTCTAGGTATGCTTGGTTCCATAGATTGCATGCAATGGACTTGGAAAAATTACCCCGTTGCATGGCAGGGTATGTACATAGGGCACAAAAAGGATCCTACAATTATACTAGAAGTGGTTGCTTCTAAAGATCTTTGAATTTGGCATACTTTTTTTTATGTCAGGCTCGCATAATGATATCAATGTTCTCCAAAGATCTCCTGTTTTTGCAAGGCTTGCTGAAGGTGAAGGTCCACAGGTTAATTATAGCATTAATGGAAACAATTATACATTGGGTTCTTATCTCGCAGATGGCATATATCCATATTGGGCCACTTTCGTGAAGACCATACCAGAACCTCAAGGTAACAAGAAGAAATATTTTTCTAAGGCACAAGAAGCGTGTAGAAAGGATGTTGAAAGAGCGTTTGAGGTCCTACAAGCTCGCTTTGCTATCGTTCAAAGACCAGCTCATTTGTGGGATGAGGACACGCTTGGAGAAATCATGAACACTTGTATCATTATACACAACATGATTGTTGAGGATGAGAGGGATGACGAAGATGATTTCAATTATGACAACATGGGAGAAAAGGTGACAGTATCCCATGATAGTACCCCTGAGCTCGATGTCTTGTAGATATGAAAATAATCATATATTCTTTTCCAATAAGTCGAACGTGATTGATCAACTCCGTGCACTGGATCCAAACTCACATTTAGCCATGCTGAAACCAACAATTCGTCCTCCTCTTTTTTGAAATTCTTGGACCTTTCCGACTCCCTTTCACACTTGCTATAGCCTCGTCACATCTTTGGTGTTTCATTAGGAGTTGGGACATTATCGGACAAAGCGCAGGATTACAACCCCTTGTAATTATGTCAAGAAAAGATCTTTCGAATCCATGGCGCTGTGAAAAAATACCACCAGGGACAATCAAGATCATAGACTAAAATATGATTTCAACAAGGTAAAATTGAAACATTCCAGATGTGGTATAGAAAAAATTAAAGCCCTATTTGCTGCATAGGAAGATGACTCAATTCAATGGGCTGCAGAGCTAGAGAGTTTCAAGCTGAAAAAAGCTGAAGAATAAAAATCTACTATTGATAGCAAATTAGACGGACACTTGAACAAGTTTCAGAAAACTTTGACCTCAACTCATTATATGCATAGTTCTACAATTGGATGATCACAGGGAAGAGGCTAACATACTATTCACAGAAAATTTTTACTAAACTTACTGAAATACACAAACTCTAGTTCAATAAATAAATTTGTAATATGCACAATCACTCCCTTCACTTTATTGCAACTAGTCAAACTGTACTATCTGAAAGTAGCAAGAATGCTTTCATGATTCAGAGCTCACCAAATCTAAGTTATTTACATACCATAATTGCCAAGAATGCTTTCATTCACAAGTACTCGCAATAGATACCTATTCACAAATTGCATCTGAGCTCACATGTACATTTTGAGTTGGCCTGATTATTAAAAAAACAAAAAAAAAATGGATCTAGCTATTTGGATCTCACCGGAATACATGCCAAACAAGGGGGATGATGCAGCTGGGGCAGCATTGGGAGGAAGAACTCCACGCCGCAGCCCATGTACCTCTGCACTTTGCAACCAAGGCAACGACGGGAACTGTTGTTGCTCCCAACCGCTGGCTG